CCAGCGCTCAAAACGATGAATATTTAGAAAACTAACATGTTGTTTGCAGGTTTACTGTTAGACCTGTAAATAAGTGGGATTGACATAATTTTGATGATATTTACACAACCATAAGAAGTAAAACTCGTGTGACACAACACAATCTACGAAAACGCCATTGAATCAAATCGCAAAAAATTGCGTTACGCAATACAATCGGAGGGGTAGAAGCAACACCAAATGCCTATTTCAAAAAACACAAACGCACAAACCGCACGAACTTTTAGAGTGAGCGGTGTTTCGTTCCTTCGATATTTGTCTATTAAACAATTCAAGGCCATTCAAAAATTGACTTCCTGAAATACAAATTCATTAAATTGGTCTAGTAAGTCCAAGTAATGGTTTTTTTAAAAAGTATGCAGAAATCTTTAAAAAAGGTTGTAACCACAATTATTGTACTATCACACACCCCTTATATACTGAGCACTGTGGAACCTAGAAAGAAGTCGACTAAGGATATCATTAAAAACTTAACACAACTAGTTTAGTCGTACTAGCAACAAGGTAATTATATATAATTTCTTGCTAATACGACAGGAATAATGTGTAAAGCAAACTTCTCAGAGGATGCCGTTTCAAATCAAAACAATTTTTTATTGTTTTCAGGTGATTATGTATTTTATCAATCATAATTTGATAAATTATTACTTTATAACATCATAGCAGTAGTTAGAACCTATAATTTTCATACGAAACGCAGTTTTGGCTTGAATTCAATGTTGGAAATTTCACTTAGTCATCGAAGGTGAAATTCGTCGATTTGAAGATGGCCTGACTTTATGCTACATATCGTTTTATATGCAGAGAGACCGCACAAAAGTTTTGTTATCATATAGTTTTGCATCTTAAAATATGTCTGGATTCAACATGCAATGTGGTTAGCAGGTAAATTGTGAACGTATTAATTGCAGGAGCAAATAACCAAAATGAAGTACGACACAAACCCCTACATTAAATAGTAAGGTGTATTCATGGCTATTACCAACTGAGAAGTGATAGTAACAAAATCGGTTTTAATCCTTATATTTTACTCTGGCAAACAGACTAGTGGGCTAAACAATGATTACTTATAAGGAAAGCAACATTCATTAATGTATAGTAATACAATTAATTCAGTGAATAATGTGCATAAAATGAGGAATACCTCTTTATGGGAATCGTACCTGTAAACATAGATTTAGAGTATTTAGAACATCCTTTCACGTCAAGCGCATTTCGGTACATGTTTTCATTTTACAGCAATGCATTGTTTGCCACCTGTTGGAGGGGACGCATATATCTAACAAAAGATCTCTAATTTCTGCATAATATTTTGATTTACAACCAGTAGACTTTTAATTTTAGCTTCCCAATATAAAGACAAGTACCCGAAATGTGTACATTAAGTGACGTTTCATCACCACGCAAACTATCGTATTTAAGCCCAATTACGTTATTACTTGGCCCCAGAGTTACATAAATGGAGCAAATGCGAGTAATTCCATGAAATGATTTTTGGTAACATAAAGCAGATACGCAAATCTTACAATAAATAGAAGTTATCTTCGCTGAAATATTCAACTTTCAAAATCAATAACATATTCCTTGAATCTTTGGATCATTCATGTGGAATGCCTACCAAACGGGGACCTAAAAGGTGGGGTTAGTAATAATTTCTTCTTTAAGGACAGCCTAACCATTGGACCTAATTACCAGATGGAATAAAAAGAGTAAGGGGAGCGGGGTCAGATATAATCCTGACCATCGAATCCTAATGCAAAGTGACAATTTTGCAAAGAGTGTTATTTTTGGTACAAAGAGAGGATGAACTTACAAAAGGTCAGAATTGACTTGCATGTAGATTAGTGCGGGTAGAGGCGAAGCAATGCGGATTGCAGATGGTGGGTGGCGTGGGGACACAATTGTACAACGGAGAAGCCATACAAGTGTGCTGATCGAATGGCGCGCGACGCCCTTATGCAGAATCAATTAAGCGGCCAATTGGGTAGAAACCTAGTTAAAATATGAGCTGCTGATTTTAGGGATCCTGCAGGTACGTAGTACTTTGAAATGGTGCTAGTAGTAAATGGGAACGCGAAAAAATGTGTTGGTCATCGACGTTCCAATGAGACTGACTCCTTTTAAAATATGTTTTGCCTGTGCAGAAATGAAGCGAGAATGCTGACAATATAAGAGAATTGCAACAGATATGTTCAATTTTAAATGCATCAGCGTTCATAGCGCGTATGTTGTGTGTAAATTGACTAGAATTAGCTGACATCGGCGATATAGAGTACCTTCTACAACCATTGTTTGACACTGCTGAATCTTGCACAAACGAATTTGCCAATTTAAGCCCAATTGTCACCTCCCTTCATTCACATGGAGCACAATTTCTTCATTTGAGATTAACCTGTTACTTCCTAAGCGCACATTATTCCCTTTAATAAATGCTAATAGTTTGTCAATGCTACTATAATCAGTGCTCAGGTGAATTTTTGCAGAAAACTAATGTGGCACTAGCCACGTGCGTTCTGTTTATAAAACTACCGAAACTGCAGCCACGCTCACGAAAATTATGGTATTAGCCTACGACATCAATGAAAAGCCATCTGCTTTGTCAACACAACCGCCTACAGATCAGATAATCATTTGACACTTGCCGTTATTTCTTTAGAACAACGACCAACTTCCCCGTGCACAATTCTGAAATTCTCTACAACCTACCTAAACAAGGCCACGCCGATAACATCGACTCCTCCTTCCAACTGCTCACACCTAATTCTAAAGAAAATGGCATTTATTGGGCGTTTTATCCCACCTCTATCCCAACTTCTGTTGTATTGCGTTGCACAACAAATAATTTACTGAGAAAAGTAGAGGCTTGATTGAACAGCGGACTGAATGAAAGCCTTGTGCCAACTCATGCAGACTCTAAAATTCCCGGGGCTGAATCCCAACGCATCCTTTTACCATCCACATTGACACTCGAAATCTTACGGCGTCCTTTAGCACGATGGGCCAACGACGAAAGGACGAGTTATCACTTATGCCGAATAAACCCAAGAGGAAGTCCAGCGTAGCCAGAAAAAAAGCCTTAGATCCCTCTTAAAAAGATGCTCCTCGTCTACATAAAGGGTGAGACATTTACTGTAATATAATAATCTCCCTCACTTCTGATCACATCAATTCCATGAACGAGAAATACAACTAGATACATAGAAGCCCTAGCAGTCTTCGAGACCAAGAGTATAGTATCACACGGGAAAAGCACACGAACGCAGGTAACCTCTACTGCATCTCGCCAATTGAACTTCAAAACTACCCCACGTGCGCTGTCTTCCACAACCACTACCTTTCAATTTGCTTTGTTGAACTGAGCCAAGCTTCAAGCGGAAAAGTGCGACATGATACCCCAAGCACGGCGTTTAACAATCACTAGGAATAAAAGATAATGGGCAAAGCCCGAAAAGCACATCACGTGAGCGTCATGGGACAAATAATTCCCACGAAACGTTTATCATTTAAAATACTTTGGCCATTACTACCCACGTAACATTCAAGTGGAAATCCACCTTATTGAAGTGCTCGCACCCGCTTCACCGGAATTGCTACTACACCACGCCATGCATCCTATCTGAGTCAAGCCTTTCAGATGCGTCAGTCAAAGCCCATGTGACTGAACTGATAGACGTCGCCGGTTACTTCAAGAAAATTAAGGCAACTGATCTAACTGAAAATTTAGCTGTCGTACACGAGTACAAAACACTGGACAGCAAGGTGGAAAGTCCACAATACTATTCACAAATGATAAGAGAACTTAAGAATTCAACACAGTTGTCAATATAAAGGAATTTGATCGAAATAAAGTGATCTAGCGAGCATCGATTAGTTGAGGGTTAAAACATCAAACTAGGAAGATAAGGGGATTTAAAGCGACGCAATAATATATTTACCGCGTAAAAGACACGCAATCCGGCGATAAGTATTACAAATGGACATGATCAATCATGCCATACGAATCACCGAACAGCCACCTACCGACAAATACTAGGAATAAGGCACGAATCAGAAGATGTGTGCACATTTAGACGCACCTGATAACCTTTCCAAAACAGACAATGGCAGTTGCCGTTTCTCATTGCAGTTAGTTCAGAGAGCGGATCGTCAGTTCTATCAATTTTTGGGTATACGTCAAACGCAGGCGAATCTTTTACAGGATGAGCCAGGAACTATCAACAACACCAGGAAACAAATTACAGCCGCAATCTATTATTACAGACACTAGAAAACGACTGATGCCTAGCTAAGTACATTGAAAACACCGCAAACATTCAATGAGCACACATTAAAGTTGAATTGTGGAATACGAAATAGCGCAATGCGTTACATGTTGACAGCCCATGCTTAAAAAGTGATTAGTTAGAAATCCATTTATTCCATTTACAGTAATTAGAATTTGTTAAATCCTTTCTTCGACTTGAAGCCGCTTGCTTTCGACACTTTGATAACGTTGAAGCTAACGGTCTTGCTCAAGGGCCGACATTCGCCACAGGTTACAGTATCTCCAACTTGAACGTCACGGAAACAAGGAGATAAATGGACGGACATATTTTTGTGTCGCTTCTCAAAGCGCTTGTATTTTTTGACATACTTCATGTAGTCGCGACGAATGACGATGGTGCGATTCATCTTCATTTTTCGCACAGTGCCTGTGAGAATTCTGCCTCGAATAGTGACATCACTAGTGAATGGGCACTTCTTGTCAATATATGTGCCAAAAATTGCTTCTTTTGGAGTCTTGTAACCCAAGCCGATAGACTTGTAATACCGGGAACGCTTCTTACCCAAAAGTTTTTGCTTTTGAAACGCACGCTCAACCTAAAGTGGTTAGTGAGAGAAAACGAACGCAACCTGTTCAGCCATCGTGCAGCGCCGAAAAAACCAACAAGTGCGGTTCGGGAGAGAAGCTGCTTTAAACAAAATGCATGTAATCTTCTTCTAATTTTTTTATTTAAAATTACAAGGAGTTAAATTTTATAAAATTATTTGCATTTTTTTAAAAGCGCAATTTCGGTACTAGAATACCAAAAATGTCCTAAAAAAGCCAGAATAAACACCAGTAATAAAATATTGAGAAATAAACGTTTAATTGGAGAGTCAAATCTACCTAGACACCCCCCGAGTATGCAGAAAACGTTGAAATATTGCAGACGTTAAAACGTAGAAAAATCCATGGGCTCAATAATTCGCAAAACTCTATATGCCACTAAGAAATATTCGGTTAAATGCCGGACTTAAAACTAATTTGAAAAATCAAAATCAACCTTTTTTACTAAAAGGAAAATATGGCACGAAGGCGGTAAGAACATAAGCAGTCACTGTTCGTATGAGAGATAGTGGTATTAATTTTTATCTCTTAAGATTCACTAAATATTATCATATTTTCGATTACGTTTTTTAGTCCATTGTAAATTTGCGGATTTATATAGGTAAAATGAAGACTGTCATTAGTCAAAAAATTAGTAACAGAAGCAACGGATTGTGGACACTGTCCATGTGACCAAATACGTTCTATTACGTTAATGCGCAAGTAACGAATTTTTAAATTTTTTACAGATATTGTTAGTCAGTTGTGGTGTTTTTTACCCATCCTACGTCGAGTAAATATATTTGTTTTTTACTTAAATAATTACATTTTGGTTTTTTTGAAATTTCCATCATGTTTCCACGAGGCAGCTATTTTACGCAAATATTTTCAGTGATGCATTATAATATTTATTTATTAATTAATTTAATTGTAAAAAACCGTCATACAGTTGCTTTGACGATTGGAAAGTGATTCTGAATATTGTTCCATATAGTTTCTGTGTTTGACAACTTTGGCTTGTTTTATTATTTCGCTTGCAGTTTTCTATTGGACGAGGGAGTGACCGTGCTCCTTTTGATTCATCTGTCACCTCCTGTATGTTTTCTCGATTTCTATTTTTCTCCGTCGTAGTGTTTTGCAATTTTTTTCTCAGCTGTTGGTTTTTTCGTCAGCTAGTTGTGATTTTTTTTAACATTGCACTAACTTAGAGACTTGACCAGGCTCCTACGCGTGATTCTTCGCTGTTATTTTGTGAATGGTTCAGCTTCGAAGTCTCGCTTAATTTTGCTAGCCTTTAACTTGCGTACTAGTGCTGAATGACGTAAGGCGTTTTGTGCGTCCTTGTAAATGCTTAATTTATGGATTCGTGTTTTATGTGTATTTGTATGTTTTAACCCTTAATTGATGCCGTACTTATCAATAATGCAGTAAAATTCCTTCTAAATTAATTATATCACATCTTTTTTATCGTGTGCCTAAAGCCTCAACACTTTGCGATGACTGAGGCGGATCAAGCTGGGTCTACTCTTTCACAGAAGTCGTCTCTCTCCATGGTGAGTTGTCTGATCATCTTTCCACTGATATTTTTTGTGGATTTCAACTTCATTTAAATTCTCCTTTAGCTTACTGCTATCAGGGATGATGCTCTACCTAAAGTCACTCGCTCAGCCCTCCCATCGCGTCCGTACGACAGTAGCAGTATCCCAAGCCTTACAAGTTTCTTGAGTGTTGATTCCGATCGGACAACTGGAACTTTTGGTTTGTCAGTTTGTCATTCATCGCCCATCCTTGTTTCTCCGCTTCGCGGTTCCCTAAGTGACACGGATCAAAGTGCCACAACGGGTGACACAGATTCGCATTGGACGAATTTTGATGCCGATGATGCCGAGCTAAATGAAGGTGATGATGATAATGGGTTGTGCTCTGACTCTTCTGGTGTCTTGTCCTCTCTTAACGTACTGCCGCATATTTCGTCTAATGATGAAGAAAGTGCCGAGTCGGTCGGCGAGTTCCTTTCCACTGGTGATATTATGTCAGCAACTGCTTCAGCTGATGTTACTACTGATGTCTCCATCGCAAACGAAAGGGAAAGCGTTTACTCGTTGACGCAGTCTAGAAATCGCCATAAACGAAGAATTTCGAATTGGTATCAAGTGAGGCTCTTATGTGAACTAAAAGCTTCAAGTTTTCCGGTATTTCTTGATGATTATTGGAAAGTTAACAATAATCATAACGTATACCAACGTGTACCAAACCATTACTTTTTGTTTACACATGCTTCATTATTTGTCATCAAATATGTAACCATAGTTAAAAACAATCGTTACTAAACCATTTCTGATCTTATTGGTGAGCATAGTTCATGTTAGCTGTTTTAAAAATAGAATTGAGCGGAATTATGTAGCGTCATTAATAAACACTTCCGGGCTGCTATTCCACCTCCGCTTGACATTTCACGGTTTATGATTAAGTTGTTGAATCGTTGCATTTGTGTCCAATTGAGAATATCTATTGCAAAATGTGCTTAAATCAATGATGCATTTTGTACATGAAAGCCACAGGGAATTATTAAAATCATGAAATTGCATGCACTTCATCTTGTATTAATTCAAACAAGTTTAAGTAGCTATTTGGTTATTTTCTCCGTTTTCCAAATAGGAATCTCTTGTGAAGTCGTATAGGGCAAAGGTCAACCACTTTAAGAAAATATTCAGTTCTACACCAGTAGATACGGATCGCCTTCTTGTCGGTATGTCATGTTTTAAACTAGAGTTGAATTTGTACTCCATACTTAAAAGGTTTACTTATCTTGTGAAACATCGTAACTTATTTTTTGTTGGGATGAGTAGCAGATTTGAATCTGATCTGGTGAGTTCTGATGAGATGCAACATATTTCGAGACTTCCGTCTATACCTGTCTTGATGGTCTTTTGCAAGTACATTTTTAGATTAAATGCCCGCCATTACTTGTCCGCCCTATAAACGCAGTATTCCCTCTTTTAATAAGTGCAATAAGTTAAAAATGTCGTAGTGGCCTGCGCAGGTTCATTGCATTTTGCATTAACTGTTCTGTATCACATCCACTGACCATGCGATGGTGAAATTCGATCGGTTGTGTCTGAATAAGGTAACGTCAACACTCACATAGTTAATTCTATTTATGTATTCTAGCCCATTTTCGATTTAGAATTTTAGATAAACAGCGTTTTTTAAACACAACAGTCGTCGAAATTCTCTCACAGTCCGCTTAGGGAAGTTAGGCAGGCATTTCAGGGTACATTTAAGAATTGCGTACGCACAATTTAAATTATGGATCTCTTTTTGCCATCAATAACTCACCTCCTTTTTCATTACAAATTCCATTTGACATAGCTAAGGTTAACCTTAAATGTGTGAAGCCAGATACGTGACTAGTAAGACGGTCTCAGAAACCTTGTTCATAGTTTCGATATCATAAAGCTCCCGCATCGTCATAATGGTACATACCGCTTCTCTACTGACCACATATTGTGACCCTTTCACATCGATTGCTTTCTCCATTTTCACCTTTGAGCAGTCTCTAGTGCAGGCGACATCAAGACCTGGACACAACAACGCGTTGTGCGCATTATTCAACTAGTGGGGAACATGAATGTAGGGTTGCAAATCTGCTTTTGTGATCATCTGTAATGAGCAGTCCTGAGTAGACCATGACTTTTTCCGCAAATGTGAAATTTACGAAGTTTTCTTTTTGGTCCCAGCGGCGCGTTACTTTTTTGTGTCTAAGTTGCTATTCGGAGATACGATGTCCAGATTTTCAGCGTTATTAGCTGGTAAAAGGTTGGTCCAAGTAAATAGTGTGACAAGGTTAACGGAAAAATGCGTTTTCATGCCTATGAAGTAAGCATACAGTGTTGCAATCACACGAGTAAGTGGTTACTTATCAGTATTACCTACGTTCAATTAAATCGCCCCAATTTCAATTAATGGAGTCACAAATTTGCTCTACAAGGGGTTAAATCTAGTCCAAAGGCATGGAAGCAACGCAAAATAGAAAAAATTGACTCGTTAATTTTGCATTTTGCTGTTCGCTAAATTTTTTCTGTGTTTAAGAAAACGTTTGCGATTGATTTCCTGGGGGAGGTGATGAAATTATGCAATTGCTTACTGGTTTTTTCTGTGAACAGACTAATCATGAAGCACTTAAATGGATCTCAATCAAAAGACGAAACCCCAAGTGATTAATTGTGTCGCACACTGACCTTGAACCACTTCAAGGCCACTTGATACATGTGGGCTGAGGCGGCAGCATATCACGTGGTTGGTGCTAACTCATTGACCCATAGCATTGATGGAGACCTAGCGAATGGATTTGGCATATTTAGGTCGTGGCACAGCTATACTTCATCCTCAGAACTTTTAATTCTGACCATAGTTCGTCACTAGAGTTACTGATTTAGCTAACCAACTTCGTAGACTAGGCTCGGATGACCCATCTAACTGTGATCGCAGGAAGGCAGGGAGGAAGTGCTTCCATTGTTACTGGACAAAACACCAATGATCAGGAGGTAATCGGTGGCAGAAAGACCTGTAGTGATTTTTTTTGTTTCGGGGAATTTACTTTGCGGTTTGCAACCGCGAAGTCGGAGGCCAGTGCTTCAAATCACTTAGCTTCACTTCGAAAGGGGAAGACCCGTGACTTACCCTTGCTCTGCCCTTTCTCCACTGAGAATTTGATTCCATTTTCCACAACCTAGATTACTCCTGCGCTCTCGCCAAGAATAAGAATGGTCTCCTTCTCCTCGGACGAATGTACATCACCGAAAAGTGGATCTGCTTCTATTCAAAGATTATCTACGAATTGAAGGTGTGCTGTTGCCGGTATTATGCCAAAGGACTATTTGCTCTGCGCCAATAGTGATTTTGCTCAGTTATCACATTGCCATTACTTCGATTCGGATTTGCGATTGCTAATGGAACAGTGCATTACGGTTCCGTCAGAATTGGATCATTCCCGAGACCATCTTAGACTAAAGGGCCAACTGCTGTGGCAGTAGAAATGAGCGTTTGAATTAACCTTTGGCGTCATTTGTGGAATGTCAATTTTATTGGAGCTGGTACCTTTTTTCACGCATGTAACCGTGTATGAGTTAGTGCTATTTATCTATGCTGTGTCATGGCAACCTTTATTGCTCTAAAAACAAGAAGCAAACTACTGAAAAGAACTCATTGGAGTGTTTGAGCTCGTGAATGTTCTTGTGGAAATCGGTCAACAAACGGTTCATTTATTACCATCCCTCTAGTTATGATAAAATTTGCCATATTTGTACGCTGAATGTGTGCGATTTGTAATGATGGCCTGGCTGTAGTGTATATAACGAAAATGATTTTGGCAAAACTGATTTGTATCAGTAGCATTTGGAAGTCACGATTCAGTAATTTCAGCACCAGCTGTGTTTTTTGTGTCAAATAGTTAAAAACAACCAATTGAAATGCTTTTAGTTTAGTGTCGCTGTCAGGCCAAGAGTAAAATCTCATTCAAAAATGTAACATTTTAAATGATGTAAGGGGTCGACGTTTTTGTCTAGAGATTTCGTTCTGTTTTCGGATTTATGCGGCGTCTTTTACTGATCCCAATGGGTAGCGTTAGAAGGACATACATCTCAGTAAAACATTCATATTAGTGAAGAATCTTTATCAGTAGTGCTGTCAGATCCAGAAAATTTAAGAGTTATCATCCATCAATGCATCGGATGTAAATGCTCGATGCCTTCAAGTTAATACTGCCTTCACTAGATATTGCTCACAATAAGTCAATCTAAAGAATTCAGTATATGTGAAAATTTGAGTAAAATTTTACTCCTCTTCAAATGCTGTCCGCTTGACATTTCGGCCTTGTGTCTCACGTGCTTCTGATGTTTAAATGCAATTTGCTTCGATTTTGATTTTGCTACAAGACGCATCTCTAATCCTTTGTCACATTTTCCTGTGAAATCGTGTTTTTTCCGTTTTTCGATTTGTGTAATTTCATTTTGCCTAACTATATGTTTTTTGTTGGAAATTGCCCGTTTAGTTGTTCCTGGCGGTCGAAGATATCCAGTCGGTTTCAAAGGCGAAGACCGTTCGTCTTATCCCCAATGCCATCCAGTTGACACTCAAATCAAATGACGAGCGCTACTTCTTCACGTCGTTTGCCTCCCGCGAACGAACCTTCGCAATCCTCAAAAGAGTGTGTGAAAATAGCAAGGCTGGGGGCGTAAGTCTCTTCACCACTTGTCTGCGCTTGTTTTATTTTCGCGTCTTGTCTGATTGCCGTATTCTCCCACTTCGCTACCTTATCACTGTAATGTGATTGCTCCTCACAGATGGAAACGATTCTGATTTTTTCATTTGTTCTTTCATCCTCCAAAAGTTTTTTGTTGATTTACCTAAGCTCTATTATCTGCTTCCGTTTATTGTTGTTGCTTGGCAGATGCTAAAGTAGTTGTCCTCAGTTTTTTAGAAAGATTTCCCCTTGGTTTCACAATTTGTTCTTTTTACAAAACAATCTGGCTCTTTGCTCCAGCGACTCGTTCAAAATCTGCGCTAAATCTACCTTACTCTTTTTGGTTGGTTTATGTTGCGTCATTGTTACAGTTACCGTGGTTTCTCATGGTTGTACGACATTCACGTCTGCGTTTATTTGCTCATCTAATTCACTGAAAGCATTGTGTCACCTTGCTTCTTGTGCGTGTATGAATGTGTTCTGCACATTGCACTTTACCAATTAAATGACAGAAATTCGCTCTCATTGTGACCACGTTTAGTGTGGAACGCACTTTTTTAAAAATAAATAATTGGCACTTTGTTTTCGGCGAGCTTTTTAAGTGTAAGATGTTGCGTTGTTTTGGTTGATTTCGCTTAATCATCCATCAAATTTATAATCACAATACCGTCTCCTGCTGTTGTTAGAGCCGGTAGCTACTGCACCACACTGGCCTTCCGAGAGTAGTTTCGGACGGTCGGTACTAATGTGCGCCGGCTGCGATGCGCTTGTGTTGTGAGGCTCACTTGTTTTCTTATCACGACAACTCCAGTTCCTCGCGTGTTTACTCTCACGCCACCGGTAAGCAGGTTACCGGGGCTAACATCCAAGCTGCACAAAATCTCTACGCTGTATAGGTGCTTATCGGCTTGGAAAAGGTGGCAGATCAAATGTTTAGGTTTTTATCTGGTCTTTCAAGAACACGGTGACGGAACTCGTTTTTGAAACCGCATTCACTAAACATCACTCGTTGCTGCCTCCCAAATGCATAAGTGTTTCCTCAAGAGTACTTAAAATTTTTGTGGCATAACTTTGTTTTTCACATTTTTTTAAAGTAGTAAAGGTGAAAATCAGCACTGTGTCTAGTCGACTGGTAGTTTTCTCGCTCACCAGTGCCTTGCGTGCTACTTACTCATTTACCATTAATCCAGTCTACATGATGTTTTGTGGTTAGATGAGAGAGGTACACAAATCCCACACATGTGTCCATCTGTGCTGTAAATTAATTCTTTTTTACCCTTTGTCTTGACCACAGAGAATTTTGCCTTCTGAAAGCGAGGTATGTTGACATTCAAATGCTCTCACATTCGTTGGTTTTATTGTTGTTTCTGACTTTTGCTTGCTGTGATCCCCTCTTTGTGGTTTTGCTTCTCTTTCTGTATTCAGCTTTAATTTGGCTTTCTCCTTGGTGTCTTTTCACAGTGGTAATTGTGAATCGGCTAGACGAGTGGTAGTGCCGAGCAACTTTAAGCCCGCATATACTCCTATTCATAAGTGCTAAATTTGCACTCTAAGCGTAATCAACGACGACTGCTTACTACTGGACTGCCTATGCAATCGTGTGCTTTTTATCTGGGGCTAAGCGAGACCCGCTTCCACTCAACTGGCCTCATTCTCAAAGACGAGACCGTAAACCCTCTCATTAACATCGCACAACGGCCTGTACCTGAAGTAGGTTATCAATTGCGCATTTAGCAGGTGGGTTGGTGGAGTGGATGTCTCGAGTGCGTTATTGCGAAACCCCAGTGAGACTACCTGAAATAAATGAAACTCCTTGTGGTCCATCGTAGTGATACTACTTTTAAGTACCGTCTCTTCCTGGAAGTTGTTGCACACATTTCCCCACTTGTAACCTTAAAATGGACGAGGCGAAGATGATGCGCGGTTCCTGAGAGTGTTTCGTATCACGAACTCACACTGTTCATTTGCCGTAGCTCTTTTGGTGGTCTGGAACTCAACCACTTGAAGGCACACTCACACATTGTTTGGCCGTGGGACAGGAATCTCCATCTACTTTGCAGATATTTGCTTTGCGCCTTTCATTTTAAATATGTTTCGAAGCGTAGGCGATTGTTGAAACTATAAGGTCTCCGCAGTTTCAGTGCTCACGAAATCCGTAATCGTTATCGGAATCGTCATTCACATCGCAATTTATGGCGTGCGAGTTTCCCATTGCGTCATCAATTTTATTGAAAATGTAGGAACTTTGAATGATGACGTAACATCTCGGGCATTACCGCGCATTTCTACGTACTATGCAGAAAAGTGCAGGTTTCTATTTTTTATTTGTATGTCTTTTGGAAGAATTAAATGGTCATGAACGCAGTACAATCCCACTTCATACATGGCTCGTGTTGTCCTTTTAAACTTGGATTTCCTTCCTTACGGTTACTGTAACCACATTATCGATGACTTACCGATCTCCTCGATCCGGCAATTTTTCGTGTTATGCACGTCTCTATCTGCACATCCCACGTGTTAATTCACGCTGCACGTCCGCGTTTTTTTCACGACGAGGTGTCTGTCTTCTCACCTTGGTTAGAACGAGTGTTTAACGCTGTAATCCTGCTTTGCTCCAAGCTATGCAGACTACATATTTGACGTTCTTTCTATCCACTTTATAGACTTGCCTTGATTGTTTCAATCTCCCAATTGAGTAGAATGCATGTCGTTTGCCTTCACCCTTTGTTTGAGGCAATTTGCTTTGCCTCCCTGTCATGTGGTTTCTTCGTCACTGCTTGTTTCCCTTGTAGGTGACGAATATGGAAGAGTTGCTGTGTCAGGTGCAAGACGTATACGGCGACGAAAGTATTGCTATTTTGGACTTTGAAGAGGGCGACGAACTCGAGGAGGGTGCTTATCCGTCGCTTGTGAGTCCCTTGCATACTGGAGACAAATTTATGGGATGAAGTAATGCAACATGATTAATTACGTGAAGTTTTTTGTGTGCTTGTGTATTGTACGGGAACTTACTATTCCTTCAATTTTGTAGTCTGTCCCTGTGGTTTTAGCAAAGTGGTTGTACATTATCGGTTTTATTTTTAGTGGCTACCGTTCTGTACTGATCTCCACATGTCACCCCAAAATTACGTCACCAACACCGTCCATTTGTCCCCTGTGGGCAGATTTATGCAAGCATCAATGACAAAATGTTCGGGCCGAGTCTTCTCACTTCTTTATTCATTATTAACGCATATTGCAGGAATTCTTAGGCGCAATTACGTAACGATGCATATTTGACCATGTTTTTACATGTTTTACCCGTTTCATTCCTCATTCATCGGTCAATGTCGAGTTTAGTGAGTGCACTTGCCTGCAATTGTTGACTACATCGCTCACATGAACCCTTTTAACTACCTATCCGGACTTAATTAAACCCTTGAAGATTTTTATCGTATTTTGTACTGGCGTAGTAAAGAAAAGTGTTCGAAAAATTAAGGATTATTGAAATCCGGTTGTTATTGCGGATCTAATTTTGGCAAACCTTACTGCAAGTCTGCCTACACTGCACCCACCCCTTCCATTTCTTTACTTGGTTCTCGTTTGTGTGGGGATTTGGGAATCTTCTTCTGACACATAGAAATGATCGTGTTTATTACGAGGTATGTAGTTGAATATTTGGTTTTTATTTCCGCACAATTTAACCGCACTCTGGTTTGAATCATTCAGAATAGTCTATCGCGTTACCGCCTGACGTAGGGGTGAGGCTGATTAATTGTGTCCATTACAAAATCCCAGAGTCAAACCAAAGATGCAACAATTTCAGGTTTCACAAAATGACACGAGCTGTGTGTAAATTCTTCAGACGTATGTACCGCTAGTTCATTTTAAATTGCTACACTTAGTCTTTAAATACGCCAACTTTGATGTTACTGGCCCTGTGAGCCTTCATCGGCGCTAAAGTGTTGTGGTGGAAATTTTGATCAAGGGGTGCCAATTGTCGTAGCCACGTTTGTCCAAAGGGCGTACCTTCGAAAACATTGACTACCATAGAAGATGCAGAAACCACACAGGGTGGAGATTTTGGCTTTTTGGAGGACCTTTACCGGGTTTTTCGTAATGTCAGCTTTCAATCAGAGTATGCGTATGTCCCTGTAGGTGGTTGTTTGTACCGATTATCTTAACTATTTTCTTTCGCTTTCGTAATGCGTGCCCTTCTTTTCCATTCAGCCGGTTAATCGCTCGGTCTCCTCATCGGAGTTGAACGATTCCCCTGTTACCCACCCGAACTGCCAGAGGATGGCTAGTTCTACAGCGGCCTCTCCGCCTTTGGATCGTCTGAATGAGCATCCCCTAGGACGACGACGACGACGACCGGACACTGATGAAATTATTCACCGAAAACCCTGTTCTCAACTTCGGTTGAATCGTCAGAGACGAACTAACGAAACCTCTGCCTCTCAGAGCTACTCATTTCACGAAATGAGTGAAAGTGAAGCAACGGCAAATAGTGGCACCAGCGAAGATGACGTCGATAAAAGTCAGGAAGGTAAGTGTTAACATTGTTTACCATTTTTGTATATCTTACTTTGGCCGAAATTGCAAAAGAACTGTCTGCTGGTTAGAATGAATAACGTGAATGCATAAAAGCAAATTTGGACTTAACAATTCCTCATACCTCCTCATTTCCGCTTGTCTGATTTGGCTCTTATCCCGAGGCACTGAAGATGTAGCATTTGTAGTGATTTTTTTATAAATGGACTTTTTTTGATGTGGCGCATTTTAGTCGTTGCTGGCCACTAATTGCCAAATGAATTTGATTTCCTAATTCAATTTCAGCATGATTTGATTGTCGTTTGGTAGAGAATGAAAGCCTACACACGGTGGTTAATCTCTAGTGCCCTTGAATTTAACGTTGAAGTAAAGTTTAATTATCAGCTGGAGTGGTTTATCAGGTAGTAACGGTTTTCGACAGAGTTATTTTTCTCGAAGCAGCTGTCTTTTTTTGAAGCCCGCTTCCATTTGATCCGTGACACGGATCAGCTTCTTGGACAGCCACTTTTGCATGCAGTAGTTTTCCTCCTTCCCACACAGGCCTCACGGAAGGGAAGCACGAGCAGACTCAGGCACGTCGTCCGTCCCACAAAGTTCGTCGGGCACCCCTGCCTCCCCCGAGAGCGTCCACGATGCCCACCTTCAACACCGAAAGTGATGCACCACCGGTGACATGCGGCACAGGGCACAATCATCCCGGACGCAAGTACGCGGACGCAGACATCAATTTGTCCGTGGACGCTCTCTTTGCGTGCCTCTTCACAGATTCCCAGTTTTTCGCGGATTTCTGTGCGCATCGGGGCACCTTCGATGTGGAACAGAGTCGCTGGCCGTCCAGACCCTGGCCTACGCCTGAACATGGTGATGCTACCCTCCACCGGAAAATAAGCTATGTGTTGACGCTGAAACAACGCGTTGGTCCACGAACGTGCACAGCTGTTGAAAATCAGGCAAGTATTTAAGTTTGCTTTATTGCCGCCACCAAACTGTTATTGTTCCTGTGTTGGGCACAATGATTATACAGCCGACGAATTTGTCTACCAACCTGTTTACTCAGTATCTCCTTGGCAGTTACATTACCTTAATTTACATTTACTATCATGCAATATCGCATTCCGGTGCTTTCATAAAGTTATCAAAGGCTCCTGAGTTTCCCGTCATGACCAATCCATCGAACTACGTGTGATGGTAGTTCTTGATTTATTCATGCCAAAAAAATGCTGATCTTGCGCAGTTGAATAAATACCGCACTTTTTGCACGACCCATTGCCTGTAATGTCTGCACTTTTATTAATAACTGCCTTCATCGTAGGTAACTTCGACCAACGGAAATTCAACGAAGCAATTAAGCAGTGTTGTATAAGCGCAGGAGTGTTGCCTTCTTTCGATTTCTTAGTCATCCTCGAGTAATCTTGCAAACTTGAATTGGTTTACTAATTCTCGTTCTGTTTAAAAAAGCAAAATCCCCAGGTTAGGGAGGTCAATAAAGAACCAGGGCCAATCGGTAGTAGATGTGTTTCACGGTGCGTAAGTATTAACTAATACGACAGGATACAAACAAAGTTCACGCCGTATATATTTGAGGCAGTAAATCGAATCGACTTCGCACTCACTCCGTTTGCAAAAATGACCATTTTGGAATGGCCAGTCACCAAAAGGAGTGAAGCTCATTAATCGCCAATCAGTAAAGGGATCCAGAATACGGCTATATAGCTGTTGTGAGTAGTGCATGAAGCGTGGTATCGCCATAAGGTCGTTTGTATTGAATTTGAACACTGGTTCAAAGCCTAGGTGCAGAAGGGTCGGTGTCACGATTTGCTAGTGGGGGTGACGGTGTAAATTACTTTGTTCAGCTCTCCCTCGCGATTCATTGTAAGCAATGCTAACAAATGGCGTCCTTCTTACTCGCATTTCCGTATTTATATCTGAAGTTTAAGAAGAGTTCTGTGGTTCAAACGGTGAATGCTGCCAGCGCCTATGATGTAGCTATCATGTTAATTCACACACACGCCAACTTGCTTAAACCGTAGACTTTTTGTTTGACTAGCAATTATACTAGGGACTGTTGTCAAGTTGTTTATTTTTGTTCGAACAGACCATCATTTTGAGGGAGACACGCCCCGGCAAGCGCTACGTCATCGACGCCAAAGTGACAAACGAGGCAGTTCCCCTGTGTAACTCCTTCCATGTAACCAGTCGGTACTGTTTATTGCGACGGAGTGACACGGTGTCCCATCTCATAATCACGTCTGAAGTGGTCTACGATCGGCCAGTCTTCTTTGGGGCAAAGTCGATAATCGAGAGCACCTGCAAGTCGAGTTTGACAGACAATTTCACCGACCTCGTCGGTCAGTTGTCCGCGGCTGCCGCACTCTTGTCTGACAACGAGCGCATCAGCGGCGGCACACTAGCCAAGCCCCACCGGCGCAGACTGACACGACCTCAAAAAGTTGGTTTTTGCTCCAAGTCCTCTGGAGATAAAGACACAGCAGTTGGCGGCAAGTTGGGAGCAACTGAGGCAGATAAGAATCAGCTCCCGTCGTCGTCATCCATGCCATCGACTCAGTGTGGTTTGACCATTTCCCAGGCGCTTTTCTGTCCAAACCAGCAGTCTGACAGGAAATGGCCTTTTATTATTGCCGTGTGAGTGACTTGCGGTACCTTTGTAGGCCTTAGCTTGCTCAATCAGTTCCTGTATGTAGGAATGAGACCTTCAAAAATATGTTTAATGTCGTTGACTCTCACGAACTGGCATCTTTTTAACTTTCATTTCTAGTACACCTGAGGTGCTAAAACAAGGCCTAGAGTGAAATGCTTGTCTCACCAATTCCCTCATTTTCTAACTTTGTGTTAGCAATAATCGTATGTACAAAAGGGTGGCATGGGTCGGGAGGTTCTTAATCGCCTTTGTTTGGTCAGAAACTGAGCCGATGATTCGCTCCTACATGTCTCCCGTCATCACCTCTACCTGCCAAGATTTTTTCCCCTATTTATTCCTAATACGCAGTTAATGGTAGTTAATTACTTTACAGGAGCCTCGGACTGTGCGTCTTCCTCTCCATGATTTACAACCGTTATCAAAGGCTAGAGAAGGTGGTCTCACGCCAATTTGATTTCTCCGGTCGCACATTTGACCCCGCTTCCCCTTGTTGCGATGAGCTAACATCGGTTCGGTTGCTTGTTGACTCTGTTTCAGACGTTCTTGCTCAGGTAAGGGAAAGCAGATGCTCTTTTTCATTGCACTGTTGCTCAGTTTTATGTCTCGTGAGGGTTGGTAAACCACCTCGAGTGTTCTTATACTCTGCATCGCCATACCTGTGAGTTCTTGCTGTGATGGGTTAGGGGACGCCCTTAAATCCACCCGATGTTCATTGCCTTACCTTGCGAACCGGGATGACCCTGTGTCCACTAGTTCTGTTTGTCTTGTGTGTTTCGTTGCGGATTCTTAGTAGGTAGATTTAACAAATGTATAGTTATAAGGGCTACCACAGTGCAGATCGGGTTCCATTGACATATGTACGCTGGTTCTTGTAATTTTAACCTAAGTGCTGTTTTCCTGGCTTGAAATAACGTCATTGACAGTCCTTTTCAGTTGTTTTGAGGACTCGTCATGCGCTGGCTTGGCTGCGGACAGCCATAGTGCGCGTGATCCAATAACGTCGTTGTTAGGTTATACTGGTTGTGATGGTTTTGCCGTTTATGCGGGTCTTATCTGCCCCTTTATTGATGAGGTGGGTACTTTTCTTTATATCACGCCACCGGTGATATGACCGTTTTGTTCTCACCAATGCCTAGGCGGACTTACGAAGTTAGTGTAATTCAATTAATGACTCCCCCTCGTATAAAAACCATCAACCACAGTTCATCCTACTTACATATTTGTGGTTGTGCAGTTGATATTTGACAACTTTAGTGAGGCTATAGCAACTACGCAGCTGTGGGGTGTTTCTGTCTGAGGTTTGACTTGCTTCTTTTCTCGTCAACCTACTTAGACCACTTTCTGCTGCAGCCAACTTAAGGCGCCTTTGAAAGTCACTCCGTTGACTTGCATGTGCTGCTAGTGGCGCTACGGCGACTCGTGTTCTGAAGGTCACTCGCATTTAAATGGTGCCATGTACGCGCGTGTGCAAGTCTCTTGCTCTACCGTGGGATCGCTTTGAAAAAAAGGGAGATTTAGTGGTTTCCAGGGGCTTGCTTTATTCCGGTTGAATGATCGCGATTTTTGAAAAAAAAAGACCTTTATTTTTATTGCTGGTCACCTGAGAGCTGAAACAGCATGAAGTCGTGATTCTTTTTGATTGGCAGTTAATTAGGCCTGTTTAAAAAAGGGAGATGTGTGACATTCCCCCAATGAATCAAATTTGGGTCGCGTCATTGTGTAGTTAAGACATCTTTTGCCATCGTTGGGAAATTTGATTTTAATTACAGGGTCAGTGGGTTTTGTTGCGTAGCACAAGTTGATTTGAATTTCCTCAAGATTGATCATTGGCGATTCTCTGTCACAAACTGTGGATGCTGGCTGAAATGCACACCGAATGAATTTCGGCACGTAGAATCGAAATCGCGTATTTCACGCTGAACTGGGCATATCAGTTGCCAGTTTTTTGCTAAACATTTACATTTTTGCCAGATTCTTGTCGCGATTGATTGAGCATGTGTGGTGTTTTGCCCTCAAATCACGGTTATTCCAACAAGTGTGGGTGTTGTCTGTACCACGTAGCGTCTGATTGTTTCGTCTTCTTCAGATGCGAACGACTTTGGAGTTGCTGGAGCGGCGGATCGACCAGATGGGCTCTAAACCGTGTAAGGTATCTGTTGAGGATGCTTTCCTGGGAAACTAGCAATTGCCTACCAAGACTCGTTGCATTTACTGCATCTACAAATTAACCGTATTATTCCGCCTACCTATTGCCTACTCACGTGTTACTGCACCTCGTACCCTACCACACCACGAGACTCCCTCCCCCCTTACTTTCCTTCGTTTTCTTTGTGGTCGAACCAATGCCTATTTAATTGATTTCGGTAAATATGCGTATCTGTGATTTTGTCGTGATTTTTTAAAAAAAAACTTTTCTGAAGCTCGCTTTCTTACTTGATGAAGGACTGTTGGCGAAAACCAAAGAAAGCGCACACCCTATTAAGTTAATCCTGTTTATCTTGTAACAAACTTAGCGAGTTTGTGTGGAATTCTCAAGAGAAACATCAGTCGATGCAGTCGTCAGGCCGTTTTGTTTTGCCGCTTTTACTAAATAGTCTAGTAGTACTTTGTTGAATGTATAAGTAGATTAATAGCAGGAACGAAGCAAATGTCGTACGAGAATGCGTTTTAGGTGAGAGCTACTGATGTTTTAGATGATATTTGGCTGGATGTGGTAATCGTCGTCGATTCTGCGTTTAAGAAAACACACTTGAACTAATCAGTGAGGATGTTGCCTGATTTGTATACAATGAGTGCACGGGTACTGGAGCTCGGTACTTGGGATGTGATGTTGTGCAACACGACCAGGGTTCGTTGCTAGTTATGGAGACTTAAGGAGCGGTGTTTTATCAATATCTTTGCTCTCGTGCAATATCACTGAATTTGCTGCGACGTTGGTTGATATATTACGCTATGTAGGCATGGGAGTGTATCAGTAAATTATCGACCTGCTCAAATGAGGGTTTCTAAGTAGTAGACATGGGTGACGAGGCGGTAATGATAACCGAGGGTGTTGACATTAATTGCTAAATGGATACATCCAGTAGTTTTGTGAAGCTTGTAAGTTTTGTGTTGCCTTATCGATCGCTTCTTTGTTCCAGCAATGTTGGTAGGCCTCGACAACTTGTAGCATGGGTCGTTTCGTAAGCTGCAGAAGTTGCAATGTACTAGAGGTAAATGGCGCCGAAACTGATCTCATCTGATCCTTGTTTTCAGACTTGTTCAACCTCTCAGGCAGACTGTAGTTATTGAAAAATGTTAAAAACATTAACGAGATCTAATAATTATGCGGTCAGAGGGTCAAGGGATGACAAGTGTGGGTGGTAGTGAAGACATGAGATTCGTGGGTCGTGAAAAAACGCTAAATACATTAGCAGATTAATCTCTCGTTTACAAACCTGAACTCAAAAATGCATTTTCGCTATCTGCCTGAAACTGCCCGATTTTAAGTGAAATATAATTCTAGATCAAATACTTAGTTTTCAAAGTTTCGCCTAATTGTTGTGGCTGAAGTTTCGAATTTACAACAATACGTGTATTTTAAAACCATAGAACTAGAAAAACAAAGTTCACGCCTGATTGCTATATGGTTTTGTCGGATTAAAAATATGAAAGAATACTACATTGACTGTGCGAAAAGCTACTTGGAATTAGCTTAAAAAGTCGAGACTGGGTGATTGGAAGATGAGCCGAGAACATGAATGAACCCAAACTTTAAATTTAATTGCATTTCAGAGAAATTGGTTACGTAGCCCATGCAGAACAACAGAAGTAAGCAAATAGTTAACCCTCGATAAGATCGAACATTAATATTATACTTACTGTTCCTGAAATTTAAATGAGCTCTTAACCATGCATAGCATGACGACCGAAAGACCCCCTGTTCAAGAAGAATCAGCACCTTCAGCCAGACCTATCGTCCAGTGTTCAGAAAGCGATATTCTATCGTCTTGGCTATGGAACCATAGGATTATTTGTTTGGGATGTCAGCATTACTCACCACTGCTCTTTGGGTCATTGAGATTTTGGTACTGTTTACACAAATCCCCACATCACACCACCTGTCTTGGTCACGGTTCTTACCTGTGTTAATCCCTCTTAGTCTTTAGGGTCAAGGTCACCCATGGCATTCACATCAGTAATGGTACTTAGCATGGGTTCATATCTTTGTCTCGGGTTGGGAGAAAAGAGCTTGAACTGGACATGGGATTTGTCTATTGGTTCTTGGTATATGGGCTTTTGGTTGAGAAAATGTACATTCATTTGCAAAGTGTCATCCTCAGATTGAAAATGCGATCGCTGTTGTACTTATTAAACATCTCTACTGTTCGTTTGCCCATCGGAGAAGTTTCCTTTACCAGCCGACAGATAAGCTCAACTGCACAGCAAACTAATGTAAACATCTACCGATTCACGGCAGCACTGCTGAGTCTTCTCTAGTCCTTAATACTCATCTCATATTATTTGCCAGATCTTACTTAGGCCGGTAAACTTATTTTTTCTGTAATTCTATCGGTATTATAAGGACAGTGCTTATCCTGACCGTCATCATGGCCGAGTTAGGCGTACTTAAACTGGGAAATGGATCTGATTTCGATCGTCAACCTAATAATTGCCGCAGGAACGTGGTTTGAGTTCTAATCAAATCACCACAAACTTCCTCGCTTGGTATAGGGTTCTACATGTTCACTGGCAGCAAACTGAGCATATAGAAAAAAAATAATTATAAGCCACTAGCGGCAGTCAGTCATTAACTTATCTTAGCCCCAGATTCGCACTTTTTCAGAGAAGAATGTGTAGGTAGTTATGGTAGCGAACCCACAAGTTAAATTAAAAGCCAAAGCTATGGAAGCAGACCCCTCATGGCGGATTGTAATAACTTCAAAAAATTACACCAGAACACACTTGATTTGTGCTACATTAAGGTAATGGTTTTCCTACCTGAAATGCCTCTAAGATGGTTAAATGTAGTTCAGCTGAATTAGAACAGAGAAACTTCTTAAAAAAAATTAACTCAGCACCGTTTCTTCCACATGGTGAGGAATCCTTCAGCAAAATAAGGGCACTTCTTCAGTGCACACATGCACTGGAAAAGTGCCATCGCATATAACAAATCTGGACAACATCTGCAACTCCGGAAAAGGCTGATGTACTTGAAAGAACTTCTGCACAAATCACGCGTGCTCGCAAATGGCCAAACTCGCCAAGTCTGTTTCTTGCTGCCAGAAAGAAAGTACGTGAATATAGGCTGTCTGCGTCCTGGTAGATTAATAGCATTGTTCATTTGAAGATAAAGATCTTGTGCTAACTTTCTTGGAATATTATCGATTGAAATTAACCAATTGAAATTGAGAGATTTACTTGTACTGCTAAACGAGTGTCTTAGTAGACATGTAAAATGGGGGAAACTGATATGTCGAGAGAATGTGGGGCAGTTCAAAAGGATGGCTGAATGACCTACAGGGGGGTTATCCAACAGAGTGGAGTTGATTGTGCAATGCAACACAGCTGCAAGCACGATCTCAATTAAGGTGTAATAAAAAAGCGCTTATAAAGAAAAATAATGGCCGTAACTGTTTCAGCATAAGGTTCAAGCAGGTATCATTGAATCGGTTTTATCATGTATTCTGATTGGTTAATGTTCTGCAAAATTTTGACAGAATCCACGTCCACAATAAAAACTCAGGCATATAGTTGTGTAAGCCGCACACTACACCTCAAGGAACTCCAGAAATCCTTTGTGATGTTAGCCCTTGCAGTGAACTATCAAGCTTGGCTTTAAGGCGTTGGGCTGCTGTGTCGTTATAAAGCCGTACGTATTTCTTCAAAATACCTCTGCCAATTCTCACCATAAAATAAAAAATAACTCCTCCTAACTGGCTTCTTTCACACATTGTGCTCTCTTCACAAATGCAATCTTATTGTACTTCCAGTAATTGCAATTCTCCATGTATCCCAAGTGTGTTTACGGGTTTGGGCGCACACGCCAACCAACCGAAACACATGCAGTTGATTTGGTAAATACCAGCGTTCCTATTGGCCGTCGTTGCAACAAACAGTAGTGCTTAGCATTGCGAATTTCCCCAATCCAACGTCGATCACACCGCCTTGCAGTGGACAAATCTTGGGCGAACACGTGGCATATCTCACCCACAAAATGCAGTATAGGTAAGCAGCTCACTCTTGTCTGCTGAATGCATACTCGGAACAGTTACAATTATTGCCTTGATGTCTTAACCTGTAACGAAATCTCCTTGGTACACTCAACTCGCGAACCAGACAAACCGGTATCTTAAGGTCTCCAAAGCAATCAAGGCACGCTTCAATCATTGGCGACATGCATGTTCTTGAATGCTTAAGGCCTACGTCGGTCGACGTCGACCACTCTAGCACACCTGAACCCGATTATGGCACCAAGTATCAATAATTTAGTCAGAGGCTGAGTTTTTGCCTAGTTCTTCTGCTAAAACGATGGCGTCGAATTACAGACCAGGCTGTACAAATTCTCGCACCATTTGTTTTCTTAACTGACAGGTAGTTTCTCATTCTCACTGTCACGCGTCCCCATGAAAATTCACC